TTATTTTTATATTTTGGCAGCTAAAGTTTACATATATTGCGATACAAATTGAGAAAGTTTATATTCGACGAATATTCCTACTCCTTTATTTTCGTTGATGAAATATATGGTTTCGAGAAAACAAATCTTCTAAAACATAGGAATGGTTTTAACTTTGAAGCATATAGGATGACTATCAGATACTGTATGACTAGAGTAATGGACCTTTGTTGACCACCAAAATTTTTTAAAAAAGTTATGGACCCTAAGCTGTTGCACATACGTATGTTATTGGGCCAAGCATGGTGGAGTGAAGGAAATGTCCAAAAATCTTAACCATAAGACTAAGAGAGTAACAAACTTGAATCAAAGGTATATTTTACTCTTTTGAGTCGTTGACAAAACATCACTTACATAACCTCACTCACATCTTTAAAACTGAGAATAAAATAAAAGAAACCAGACTGGTAAAGCGGACCAACCAAGAATTTTTGGTCTTTTCTTGTTGTCAGGATCCTCTGTAGAACTTTCGCTTACATATGTACCAGTGTACTTGTGTGTATTATATTTCTGTTAGTATTCGAAGTCTAGTTGTTGATTAGTTTCAAACAGACATATGTCGACTGGTCTTGCTATTGGGAAATAATTGATAACCAATTTTTGTCCAGTAATTGATGCATTATATTATTATCTAAAGAATCGTCCAAAATTCCGTGACACTTTAATTCTTAGAATCCAAAAAAAAATTCCCTTCACGTATTGTATATATTTGATTATTGTCATATTTGAATTATTAATTTAACTATTGAAATATGTGAGTTACAGAGAATGAGATTCATTCCCCATGTGGAAGCTCTGCTTTTATTCGAAGACTTCACTTCCACCTATGTATTGTTATATACAGAGAAGACCACTTCATTATATTTATAGCAATCTAAAGAGCGTATCTAACTAATAACCAAACCCTAGCTAGGTAAACCAAGAATTAGTTGATAGCTTTGAAGTTTATGCCAATGGGTTCATGAACGAATCGAAAAACATTCAAGAGAAAATATCTGTTTTTAAATTCATTTCAAAATCAACTTGCACAAAAAGAAGAAAGTTTCTATGTTATTTCACTGTATCATTTCTTAGAATCTCATACAACATATATATTTTACACTATAAAATCATATCAAATCAAATCACTAAGAGACTATACTAATTGTTTTTCATTTTTAGACTTCTAGTAAAATCTCACTAATAGATTAGCTCCAAAATTCTTTAGACAAGTAGATATATCATATATACTTGCCCGTATATGCATCTATATATAGTTTCCCCTATAAAGCTCACCACCTTATTTAATGTACTACGTAGTGGGATTGGGAAGCAACTTGGGTAAACATTTTCCACTAATGTAAAAACTTTCACTTATTGTATTCAAAAAGTTTTTTTGGTTGTATCAATAGAAACCGGATGGTTGATAGAAATTAAGAATGAAAATACTATGGTTTATGTAATGTAAATGTGTAATATATAATTAAGTATAAACAGATTCTTCCAATGCGTTATGGGTTTTTGATATATAGAAACAGTGCAAACCTAGTTTACAGATACGATATGAAAATTTATAGATTAAGTTAAGTCTAAGCGATAGAAGAGTTGGTAACCCATGGGGCTAAAAAGTTAGGGTAGAGACTCTAAATGGTTGGAGTAGTATATAATTTTATTCTATTCAATTATCTATTGAGACAAAACAAGCGAAAGGGAATATGTGTTGTGACATATTTGGATTTTTGTGCTCTTTCTTATGCTTATTTTTATGATTTTGACAGAATGGCATGTTACGTACTGAGATGCGAATGTATGTGGAAACGAGCTTATAACGACGTTTAACAACGAGGAATTAGTCATTATTAAACTATTTCCTTATTGTTTTACAAAATTAGTTACGAACTTATTTGCCAGAGTTCCTGCAATTATGATAGGAAAAAGAACAATAATTAGTTGCTTCCGAGTTTTTCTACTTTACGTAAATATTAATTATATTATAGCTATCGAAATTCCTTTAATAAATTACTAACTAAGATCTATGGGAGAATTATTCATCATTCGATCTCTTTCTTGGAAATTGTGACAGAAAATATTCCATCTTCATGTGATTTTATTTTGGATTGTTGTTACACAACATGCTTCAAATCACTCAAGGAAGTATAGACGTGTCAATACTTTTTTTTTAAATTTTAACCAAGAGGTTTCGGACTTAAGAGTTATTAAGACCCCGTATTCTTATTATGGAAACCATAACAACTTAGTTAGTCATTTTTCCGGTAAGATTCGAATTAAGCTGAGATTTTAAAGCGCATTTAAACGATCGCCTAGGTAGTGAAG